GCGTCAGCTCTCCATGCCCATGCAGATTGCCACTCAGATAAGACTGACAGAGGTGAAGAATTCTTTCCCAGTACGCTGTTGACACTGCATAAGCTTTACTCTGTTGTTCTTTGCCTTTTGGATCTCTTGCTTCGGAACACAAACACTAACAAGTTGACAAAAGCTGTATTTGCACATTACAGCTACTTGCAAACTAGCATTTCAAGTTCAAGTTTAGACATGAGCATGTAAAGCAAAATGAAGTGGAAAGTTGTGATTTTAATGGGGATTTAATCTCTTGTATTCTTTGAGCTTTTGTGGCTCTCAGAATACATCGACACTTCTGTCGCATGAGTTGCCTTATTGGCTTAGTTCATGCTGATAACAACCAAGCAAGCATTCAAGTATGACTAGGGCTGGGGCATCTCTCCTAAGAAGACAGGCTGAGAGAGCTGGGCTTGCTCAACCTGGAGAAGAGAAGGTCCAGGGAGTCCAGGGAGCAGCCTTTCAGTACCTAAAGGGGGCCCACAAGAAATCTGGAGAGGGACTTTTACAAGGGATGGAGTAATAGGACAGGGGTGAATGGCTTTAAACTGAAAGAGGGAAGATTCAGACTAGATATAAGGAAGAACTTCTTTACTGTCAGGGTGGTGAGACACTGGAACAAGGTGCCCAGAGAAGCTGTGGATGCCCCATCCCTGGAGGTGTTCAAGGCCAGGCTGGACGGGGCTTTGAGCAAACTGGTCTTATGGAAGGTGTTCCTGCCCATGGCAGAGGATCTTTAATATCCCTTTCAACCTCAACCATTGTATGGTTCTATGATTCTATGAGTAGAAGCATAGGTTTTGATGGTATTTTGCACTCCTTCTAGTAGCAAGTACTGTAAGTGCTATGCAATGGGGTATAAATCCTATGAATCAGCCCAGACCCCAGCTGCCATCCCAGGTGCAGTGACTTCTGCAGCTGGACAGAAAAATCCTCACAACTCACTTAGAAAGCAACTCTAGAAAGAAACTGCTCAGGTAGCTGGCAGTGCACTGAGTATGGAGGAATCACCAAGTCTGCTGAGCATTTCCTCTCAAGAAGGCCAGAAAAAGGCAGAACAGCACTTGAACAGAACTATAACTTCTCATAATGCAACTTTTTCAAATCTGATTATTAACAAAATGACACATTGTATTTTTAGTGTATGTAATAGGAATTTTTAATTTCTCCTTCCCTTTTATGCTACAAAGCCTTCTTCCCCCTGTAATGGAAGTCTTGTAGTTAAAAGTGCAACAGGAACTGAATAACTGCAAAAGAAACCGACAGCAGAAAAGGAACCCACAGCAGGAGGAATGGGCTAGCTGAGGTCCTCTGTAGTAGTGATCAGTCAAGATGGAGCCAGCAGTAATTTGTGGATTACCCATGTGATAACAGGTTTCATATTTTCTCCCACCAGACTCACCACAGTTTATCTCTCACCTGTGCCCCCCTTTCAAAAATTCAGCTAGATACACTCTAATAATGATGCACATGAAATAAATTCTCTGGGCATTTATGTAGCCAAGCTGCAATTGCAGTCCTGGATAGTAGCAGTATCTGCTATAATAGGAATATTATATGGAGGGAAAAGATATGACAAGAAAAAAAGATGTTGCTTTTGTATTTGAAATCTGAGAGATGAGTGGTACTGATGCTTCACATCACTAAAGATCATCAAGAGAAAAAAAAAATAGGTATTGGATGCAAAAGAGGCTTGCATCCTGTAGGGACCAGGTGCAAAATAAAAACTGCAGGTACAGTGTTAGCAGTTTTCATCTAAGTGGTTCAGCCCCAGAAGGAGGAAAGGTTAAGCCTATTACATTAGCAAAATTTGAGTATCCTGGGTATTCAAACTTAGCTGTCTTAAGTTCAGTAACCTTTATATTATAGGCCAGTGACAGCTGTGATTATAGGATTGTCCATGTGATCACAAAAAAAGGTAGCAGAATGAGTGAATGGGAGTTTGGGGAGAGATCTGTTACAGCCGTGTGGGCCTGAGCACCCTGTCAAAGAATCTCAGATGCTTTTCTCACACAGTGAGGGTTTTTTAAAGCTAGGTCTTGTCATATTTAACAAGATGAATCTTTTTGTCTTTTTTTAGCACAATGTTTTCTATAAGGCAGGTCTACCTTCTGTTTGGGTATCACCAGTTTACTGTGACTATGCCACAGTTGCCTACAGGGTATGCTTCAGACAGTTTCATCTTTAACATTTTGACTGCATATTTCTTTCTCAGGAGATCTGAGGTAGGAAAAAGGTTATTTAGGTTACCAGAAAAGACCATGTCTTAGGTATGTGATATATCCATGTATATCTGAAAATTAAGATGTATGACCTGCAGTTATTTCAGAATTCCCAGAGCAGAGCATCTCACTGGACTGCCAGCTTTTACCATCTGTCAGACACAGTTCTCACACTTCATAAGGCTGGGTTTCACACTGGTGCTATTTTCCTTAACAGTTAATAAATTCCATCCAAATCTCAAAGTGTTTCTCATAGCCAGCTGAAGAATACCTCTGATAAGCTGTGCTTGTACAGCTTAACAGACCTCCATGGAATGCCATGCCAGCTTTTCCATGGAAGGAAATACAGATAATGTTCCTGAACAGTGGACACTGAAACCAAATGATTAAATAAGAAGTAAATGTACTGCAGAAGGCTGAAAGGAAAATAACACAGGAAATGGCTACTGGAACTGAACTAATTTTTAGAGAAAGCCACTTATTTCAAGATCTGATTCAGTTAAATAATGGCATTGGTAAACCCAGTGCCAAATACACATACAATAATGAATCGCATTGGAGAAAAAATGTTTATGCATTTTGTCTGCATTTTGTCTTTTCCAAAAGAAAAAAATCCAGTTAACTGCTTTTGGAAAACTGTTCTTAGGCATTAGATTGTTGCCATCTGATTTCTTTCTTTTCTTTCATTGATGACAAAGCAGACTCACCATACCAAGCAACTCTATTCTTACAAGCAATTATATATATTCTCATAACTAGAGAAAAGGTCTAAACAGCTTACAACATTGTACCTGGCTGAATAGCCTTCAGATACAAGAATACATGGAATTCCCCTCTAGGTCCCACCAATGGGCTACTTAGCCCACTAGTAAGTACTGTGGCAACTTGAGGTGAGCACATGAGCTTGGGGCAACATAGGTGGCCCCTTCCCCTTATATTCTCCAGCATCTAGAATTGTTGTATTAAGAATTTTAGAGGATGAAAGCTTACCTAATTCTCACAAAATCCATATGTAAACTTTCTGTCCTTCAATCTGTCTAATTCCCTTTGAACCTCCTGGTACTATCAGTTTCCACAGTCCCTCATGGCAGCAACTTCCAGAAGCTCAATACCTGCTATGCGAAGAACTTTCTTTTATCCGCTTAAAAGTGATACTAGTTTCACTGGGTGTTCCACACCTCTGGTACTGCAGGATTTGCTGAATAACACTTTTTGTATTCACCTCATCCATCATCTTCATGATTTTGCAAACCTAAACTAGAGGCCCCTCCAGCTTTCTCATCTTCAGACTGAAGAAATCTCTTCTCAAAAGACAGCTGTTTCAGAACACTTCAGTTTCTCTTCTCTCTCCTGACTCTAACTTCAGTTCATATGTCTTGAGATGTAGAGACCAGGCTGCACACACAATCCAAGATTTAAAACCTCTCCAAGGTTTTAAACAGCAACAAAGTAAAGCCTTTATATTAATCCATACCGAAGCTCATCTGCTGGGTTGGACCTACTCAGTTTCGTGAGGTTCTTGCATGCCAAGTTCTATACCCATGCTATATCTCAGGCAACTCTCCTTATTTGTCCCCCTCCTAAGATCACATTTTGGTCTTAGAGTTCAGTGCTCTGATCTCTGAGAATATGGATTAACCTAACTGACTTAAACTGTATTATCTGGAAAGGGGATAATTCAGTGGAATTGTAATTAATTTACACAAATATATCTGATAGAATTTAGCCTGAAGTATTCAGTAATGTGCAAAAACAAATAATGTTTTTAAAAAAACAAACCAAATTACTTTGTGTGGGAAAGAGAATGTTTAAAAATGTTTCAACATTTCTGTGTTTCCCATTAGTCTCTCTTGGATCGTGGAAAAAATGTAAATTTAAGAGATCAAAAGTTCTTGGGCTACTTTAACTCTGTGCGAGTTTCTATTTGACATGGAATTCAGTGTCTTTCTCCTATTCCTGTACTTACTCATGGTCTATTAGAACATTTACCAGTCATTGACCAATACTTCTGTTCTGGCATCGTAAATGGCCATGGCCTTTTCTGCTCAGTGTTTGTGTAAGCAGGCATTGTCAGAATGGCTAAAGAAGGCAGTAAATGCTAGTGCTGCCATAACCAGAAGCTCCACGGCTACAGTGAATCATTTTAGTAAGAAAGAATTACAAGTCTTGTGAGTAAACAGCTAGAAAATATTTCCACAGGAAAAGCTTCATAATCTGGTTTGGACTGTGTCTCTGAAGAAGCAGTTTCTAGGCCATAGCTCTTCCTAAAAAGTATCTAATGACCCACATATTACATTAGTATGTATTACAGTTTTATTAAAGCAACTTACAGATCTGAACTGACAATCTGGTGAAGATAACTATTTTATTTTGTATATTCCTGGACATTATATGGCAATAGCAGCAGAGATTCAAACAATTAATTACTTGTGATAATGTCCTTACTGTTACTCATAAAAAGACAAATAAATTGACTTCAAAATTCAAAAAGAAAGTGGAAATTCAGTATCTAATATAAAAATCCATAAAAATATCTGAGTTGGTCCTGGCAGTTTAACTCAGATAAAAACATATTGCTGTTTTTCTCTACAATTGTTAAGTAGAAAACTTTCAAGATTATATAAATATCTTAGCAAGGGAAGAGTTAATTCTTTCAGAACAAAAGCTTCATTCATAATAATGTTGTGTTTAAACTTCAATTTGTATACACCCAAAATTGGACTTACAAATACAATTTTACAAGTAAACAGCAAATTGTATGAACAACTTTTTATTAGGCAAACTGACCATTTTATAGAAACAAGCCAAGGTATATATACACATACATGTATGTTTGTGTTCACACACACGCACTTGCATTAAAGTGTTCCCAGAATTGCTACTGGAATCTTGTCCCTTAATGTACCCTAAATCTGTATTTGCTCATTTGAAACCATGGAATTTATCTTTTCTAACATAGTGCATTATAGAATACACACCAAAAAAGAAGGAAACTGCTCTCACAGTGCTCCACAAAAGTTTTCATGTCCTCACCTTCTGAAACATTTAAGATTATTAAGTTGCTGGCAGGCTCCTGAGGAATTTTAAAGCATCTGTGTCTGGGCTACTTATTTTAAGCTCTGTCTTCCACTGTTATGAAATCAGCAAACTCTCTTGACTTTCTTAGTAATTCCATTTCATGTGGTTCTGGCTTTCAGGCAGACTCAAGAATGACATAACTGTCTTTTCCTACCCACAGGTTTTGGACTGTTGCCGTTGGTTACACCCTTCTGAGTAATGTGCAACATGAATATTTGTCTGATCCCTTATGCCCATAAATGGAAGACAGCCCAGCAAAGATGGCTAAAACACAGTTTCTTGGCTTTCTGTCAGTCACCACTATAGGTAGAGTAAGGCTTCTTTGGTTTTTTTCCTGTTGGTTAATATTAGTTAGGCTACAGTGCAGGAATGTCAGTCCAACGTCACACTGTTTTAAAAGGAAGTGGACTGAATGAACTTTACTCCTGTTACCAAAGGGAGAGCAGATATCTTTAATGTAGTAGCAGCAAATAGACAAGCTCTGCAAAGTGTTTCTGTTGTATTTTTTTCACATTGGCACATTTATACAAATGTTCTAAAAATTTACAAAATTCTTCATTTTTGTAAAAAAACACAGAACTTGGCTAGTATGAACTCATAACCACTATCGCAATCACACTTTGTGTTATTAAGAATACTGGATTCAAGTACCAAGCTCCATGGCAACGGGATAAACACTATGGAGAAAAGGCACTTTGTGGAGTTTGTTATCAATGCTAGAGAATTAGAAGCAATTTACAGTCCAGTTCCACTGCCCAATCTCACAAAGCCTCTCTTGACTTTCCTGAAGACTAAAAGAGTGTTTGTATGCATAAGAAATACCGCACAGAAAGCAGAGCCTCCAGCTGCACACAGGGCAACACTAAGATGCCATTGTAAGGTGAAAGAAGGATACAGAACTCTTTGCCCTAGACCCAAATTCAGACATTCAGGGAAAGTATTCCTTCACCCTTGGAAAGTGTCATGCATGCATCACAGTCTGCCTTGGCCATTCGCTCTGGACTCACTGGTGCCTGCAGCAGCTCTGAGAAGACGGTGCCTTTATGTGCCTTTCTGATCCATATTGGGCAGCAGAGGGAAATTCACCTACCCTTCTCCTTGTACTTTTTATGTGTCTAGATATTGTTTTGCCCTGTAAATTAGCTTTAACGAGAACTTGATCTATATGCCTCTGACACAAAAAAATGTCTAGTAAAAATTACCATTCATTCCCTAAAGACATTCATTTGCAGGATTTGTCTCCAGAATATCTTCTCTTTACAGTTACGCTTTTCATGCTTGGGCAAATTTTCAAGTACTGCACAGCATCATGGCTATTTGAACCTCTTAAACTCAGGACTACCGGGAGACATTGTTCCAGGTCAGCTTCAGGGCAATTACTTACTAGCTGGCAGTTACATTGCTGCTTTAAGAGCTGGCACTGAACTGCCAGGCAAATAAAAAAGGATGTATCATGCTCAAGGAAACAATAGTCCATGTCCAGAAGAAATGGAGAAGAATGCATCAAGTTATCACCATAAAAATAAATTACCTAACCTGAAAAGATAAAAATTCCTGATTTCTTTCTCTTCTTGGGCAATGAGTCAATTTGGGAAAAAAATATAACTGGGCAGTGTGAGGCAATGACTTGGCATCAAGATGTGTAGTCTAAAGATAGAAAGGGAGAATTTAGAAGGCAAAGCTCTCATGGCACTTTTTTCACGATCAGGTGCATTCTTGTATACTCACTTAGCCCTCATCAAAGTTCAAAGCAGCTGAGAGTCATGCCTTTCTTTTACTCCCAGCAGCATATAATAATCCATTTGAACAGGTATCTAGCAGGAAGAAAACTGGTAAGATAAAGAATGAGATAAATTGATCATAATGATCATCAAAAAGTGAAATTTACTGCAAGAGCAATTCCATGTGAAATGGATCCAGCTGATTATTTCTTTCTCTAATCTCTGTTCACAGTGTAAGCTATAGTCACATTCTTTCTGTGATAGAAATTGTGTGGCTAATAAATTACAATATTTTAAGAAAGGGATAACATGAAAATCCTATAAAATTCTACTTGGTGCTAATAAGAAGTCCTAGGCACTCTAAAACATGCCCTCTCAAGGCAATAGTTAAGTTCTAGGAATTTTTTACAAATTTATCTGCCTTTGCTGACAGAATAAAATAAAAGACTATTTAGATGGCCATGCTGTTAAAATTTTACTAAATATTTTAACTCTGCTTATACTGAGATCTATTTCTTCTAGTAATGCAATTATTGTTAATAGCTCTTCTGATGCTAAGAAAGAAAATCTATTTCAGCTGCAGTGGAATTGTAGTTACTTAAAACATTAAACTCACCCATCCACATTAACATTGACACAAAGCATTTTAGTTTCTCATTAATATCATTACACAAGCACCTTAAAAAGTATTTTAAAATCTTACACACCCTATATTTTTTTACTATGTATAAAGAAAAAAGTAGCTATGAAAGTATTCAATTTCTGCCATTATGACAAGAAGATAATAGATATTTCTCTAGAAAGACAGTATGAGTATTTCTAAATAGACAGGTAAAAGGTATATGTCATGATAGACTATATCAGTTTGTATTTTATTTCTGGAGTAGATGAAGGTTAAGAATCCAAAGAGCTTATCCAGCCTTCCCTAACTAGTTTACCTGCAGCAGTACTTGGGGTGAATCATCAGCTAGAATCATCCCCTTGCAGTGGTCAATCTTAATGGAAAAACAGATTCTGAACTTCTAGCTAGAGATGGGCAAGCAGCACAAATGTTTTCTGTGATGAGTTTAACAACACTCACACCCTTAGTAGGTCTGCTTTTTGATAATAGTCTATAAAAAATATTGACAAGAATGTTGTAAAATGTACACTTATTTAGCACCATATTCACACAAGGCTAAAGGTGAATTCCTTTTTTAAAACTAATGGTAATAAAGGACAATTCTGTGAGTTAACCAATAGACAGTTAATCAACAGGCAGAACCTTCACCCGTACATCCAAACAACCTGTACTGGAAATAGTACACTGTAACGAGCAACTCATGACAAATTGTACTCCATACGGAACAGGTAAAAGTTTTCTCAAATTAATTATTGTTGTTAAAGCCATGTTGTTCTCACTGTTTTAAATTTCCCTTATGTCCAGTGCAAACACTCCTACATTTAAAAGAGTCAGATTCAGTCCTCAGATTTCAAAGATCAAAATAAAATAAAATAAAATAAGCCTTTGGAAAAGTTGGCATTTTAATATTTATAATCAAAAAACCCAAAACAAATTTCTGTACTAGATATGTTTCAGCAAGATGAGATGACAGTTTTCATCAATGTATTAAGTGCTTAAAAATATCTGCTCCCATTCAAATTTGCAATTAAACTTTCATTGACATGAATGAGGAAAGTAAGAGTGATCCAGCTTAATGTATTGAAAATCCCTTTGCTAATTTTCAAACAGTTTAACAGAAGAAGTGTTCATGGTGCCTACATATTATTACATTACTTATTGTACCAGTTGGTTATTTTTCATTTCATTTCACTGGTGACATAGAAGAGACTGCACTGAGATGAGCTGTAGCTGACATTTAAATGTTGCTTTTAAACCATGTAAGATTTCTTACTTAAAAATAAACTTGAAAGTTTTGGGGAAGAAAAATTAAATTATCCTACGAATTAAATTAATTTTACTGTCAGGTTTTGGTTCATGCAATTTTTTTAAAGACTCTCCGACAGAAACAATACTGCTTCATTCATTCATCGGCAATACTTTGGCTCCATGTGCATTTATATAAGTAAGAAGAATTTTGGACCTTCTTTCTATTACATCAATAAGCTTTTCAATCCCATTTCTGCCTCCTTGGCTCTCCCAGTATATTTTGTCAAGGAACAAAGACTGTAGCAGCTTCTCACGTAAACGCTGGCTTCTCAGCACTGAAACTGCAGATTCAGGGAATCTGGAAAAACACAAAGAAATTCATCAGCTTTGCCATTACTCTGAATTGTAATATTTATGTTATGGTTTAGCAATCAATTCTATGAATATACACTGCGACTCAGCTAAAAGTCCATATACATGTTAATTGTATCTTTTACAGCAGTGGGATTACTCATACACTTTTAGACACACTCTGTAAATGTCTTAGGCCAATGATATCTATTTCAGTAACTTGGCATGTCTCCTGCTCAAAATGGGAAGAAAATATCAATCTTTTTACAAAATTAATAAAACTTACTCATTGATTCCTTGCAGTATTTTGAAGTCAAGATTGTCCTCGTTTCTGTCAAAGAAACCCTTATTGTCTATAAAGACTAAGTGCCTCTGGTCATGGTGTCTCTGAACTATGTGTGTAAGGTGGACAGCATCTTGATCACTACATTTCAGCTTCAGTCCTTGCTGCATGCAGGAATCCTCCCTGAGAGGTTTGAATCCACAGCAGTTTCTGTCTAGTCGACTATATATCTAAAACAAAGTACAGCAGAGTGCCAAGTGAAAACAATATCAAAGTATTTGGGGCAAAGTGTCACTGTGAGACATTGCTCACTAACATAGCTGACAGGAAAACAAGCTCAGGATAAGTATAATTAAAGTCAGCAGTGAAATGGCATGAAGACCTGGTGCCCATACTTCATGTGTTGTCAGAAGAAATTTCTCAGACTATATTTCCTCCATGCTATAGCCATGATTTCTGTCAGTAGAAAATCTTTGGAAATAGTGGAACAATATCACTGCATAACTGGAATAAAAAGATGATGAATACAATCCCATTTTTTTTCAGAAGGCTGCAGTTTTTTTACATTTTCTCTGCTAGAGAACAACAGAAATAGCACAGCCTGACACACACACAGAGGGTCTCCAATGTGGGACCTAACAGACTAATAGTATGCAAAATAATTGAAATATTAGTAAGGGGCACAGCAAACCACCAGAAGCTACAAAATGCAAGAAGAGTACATTTATAATCACAGAGCAGACTCCCTGAGTTACACTTGGTATATACTTTAATGGCATGACAATCCAGGCTATTTTTTCCTATATGAGCCCTTGCTTATTCATTGCACAGCACTTAATGGGAAGGAATACATCTGGTCTAACTTTAGTGGTGTAAATGTTAAGCATCTCTTCTGACTTAGTTGTTTATGTTCCCTTTCATAAACAATGACAAGAGCAAGGCACCCCCAGAGCAAAGGATGCCATTTTAGGATAACCATCTAATACAGGAAGAATAAATCACTCCTTGAAAGTGCTTCTACCCTTGTTGACAAGATGGGAGTAAATACACAACATTGCCAGGCCCTGAGCACACAGATAGGCCTTAATTGCCCTGAACAGCCTCACTTGGGACCTCCACACACACACCCCCTCTGCCCATGAGTCCCATTTAAGCTCAGGGCTGGAGCTACAGCCTTATTTTGAGCCCTTGAGAGAGGTGGTGTCTGCTGCTTGTTTTGCTACCTGATGCTACTCTATTGCTGCCTGGGATTCGTGTTTCTTTGCATTGGAGTTGTCTGTGCCTTACACTTACTAGGCTATCAACGGACCTGCAACTTTCTTCCCTGTTGGGTTGCCTCTCCTGCTGCTGACCCTGCCTGTCCTGCCTGCAATGGGGTTGTTCCAGGCTCCAGCTCCTGCTGGCAGGTGCTTACAAAGTGGAAGCCTAGCCAGGGCATCTAAGCCTTAATGAGTAGCTTAGCAAAGGTAAATAATTATTTTTGTCCTTATTTGTTGTATGCAAACTCATCAAACTGCTCTAAGCATAAAAGCATTAGTGTTCACATAAGACCTTTAAAATTATACTTTTAAGTTTGTCACCAGCAAAGTGTTAGGACTCTTCTGCTGATGTAGAACTGTACCGTGTGTTGAAAAGGCCTCTTGATTTTGTTCATCAAATGAATGTCTGGGACTTGTTTTGCTTTTTCTTAAATATGTAGTGCTATTGCCACTACTCCTGTTAGTAATGTTGGTTTTCAGAAGTGAAAATCCTGATGAAACAAACAGATTTCTCTTCCTCTTTCTCCTTTCATGAGCAGTATTCAGCATCTGCAGGTACCAGAGCCCTGCTTGCTTGCAGTGTTCTAGCTCACATGACCTCATTCAACTCAAAGGCTTTGCCAAAAGTGACACAGAGTCCCTCTAGATGCTCTTTTGATGTATAGCCCTAATCCAGTTGCACCACACTTTACATGCATTAAATAGATGAGGACACCATATTATTACAGACAGCCACTTTACAGTACCTTGCATCATTCCTGTGTTAAGACAGAATGATGGGAACTCTGGAATCGATGCTGCAACCTTAATATTTTACCATTGTTTTTTGTCCTATACTTACGTACATGAGAGGCTCAAACACCCAAAATCAAAAGAGCCATTTTACTTTTAATGACCTTATTTTACTTGACTTATTGCAGAACGCAAGTAAAAGGCAGCTATAAGCATTTCTTAGCCTGCTCCCATGTTTTATAGTATTTGAAAGAAGAGATTAGGAACACCTATCACAGGTACCAAACTTCTTCTAAGGGGAGTAGATTTAACAGAGAATACTTTTCATCATTCTTATTTCTGAATGGCTCATGAAGCATAGATTTTATTTTTTTCCTCAAACTTAGAACCCCTTCTTGGCATTTTTTGGTTTAGAGTCTCCATGTTCTATTACTGATAAACTTTAAAGTTAAATCTGAAAGAATCCAGGTAAAATTTTAATCTTTAAGAACCGTAACATCCACTTTCACTCACTTTCTGGCATGCATGTTCTTGTCTGGTATGCAGCTGGAGGTATGCATTACTCTGATACCAGCTACCATTGCAAGTGTAATTTTTTTTGTCAGGTAAAGCTCAATCCTGTTTTATATTATTTTACCTGAGTGTTCCTTCTGGATAATAGGAGGTTTATTATGAATAATAAAAACTTGTCTTAGAAGACCTTAAAATTAAAATCAACACAAAAATTGAGAGAATCTTTAAACTGTTCAACAAGAAGACAATGGCATGAAAACATTGACACAATCTGTATTATTCCTATAGGGGCATGACTTTAGTTTAGTATCAGAGTAATCCACCTATGACTTTATACTTGTTTCTACGAATTATTTGCTCATAGTGGGACTAAAGATGGAGTCATTAGATGAGTGATAATCTATTTTTAGAGAAGACTCATATGTTCTGGTTAACATAACCAGTCTGCAGAAATTAAACTAGCGCTAGCTGAAGTTTTAAATAAGCCAGCAAGTGCTGCAGGAGGCTCAGTCACCCGGACCTGTCTTAGCAGGTAAGGACAATTGGAAGTATTGCCGTATCTCAGGAAGCCATAAAATTAGCTTCCAACCAGATGTTCAGTTGGATCCTTATTACAGGGAGTGTATTAATACTCTGCTAATTGCTGTAACTGTAGCCACTCATGATCCTACAGGACAGAGCCCTAGTCAGGTGTTATTTGGAAAGCTAATGATTATGTGCAGTACCTAAGTAAAGAACAGCAGCCATATCATTCATCAGTTGCTGCTCTACTCTTTCCTAAGTCACTGGCTATATTTTTAAAAGGAAGGAAAATTAGCCACTATAGCTGTTATCTTGATCCAGATTTCAGCTGACCAAAAACATTTAAATGACCTCAGGGGACTGGGGAGGGGCAGGAAGCACCACTCGGTTGAAAGAGGCTTACAGTGGTGAACATAGTCACAAACTATATTTGGAGAGACTAAGGAGTCAAGAAGAAACACTATGCCTGCCTCAAGGTGAAGTAAACCAAAGCAAAGTAAAACAAAGCCAAAAGCCTTTGCTTCCTTTTTTTTTCAAGAAAGTGAGTCAGTCAAGCTCCTGATCTCATTCCCTGATTATAAATCTAATTTTGGATATTTTAATCATAAGAAACAAATGGAAAAAAAGTTCAAACTGTACAAATACCTCTCTTCCTCACTGAAAAAAAAAAAATAGTCTCCTATGTATGCTCATATGACTTTTGAGGCCAATAGTTGCATTCAGTAAATGTTTTACCTGCAGAAGGAAATCAAAGAGTGCCATCTTGGACCATTCATGATGATGGATTTCAGTACAGCCCCACTCAGCTTTTGGAACTTTACCATTCTGCCAGCATTTCTGCTTCAATAGCTGCTGATATTGCCCCCAGGTTAATCTCACTGAAGAATGGGTACTGTTATCTGTTGGACTCAATGATGAATCCCAGAGAATAACAGGACAGGCTTGACCATCTGAAAACAGAAAAACAGATCATCAGTATAGTGCAATACTGTCAGTCTTACTCAATCATTCTTTAGATGTTGCTCAAGATCAGCAATTATACTATATTACAGATGTGGAAGGAAAAATAGCCACGGACTAATAACTTGACATCCTTTGGTTAATGTGGTCTTATTCTACATGTAAAAGCAGATACCACAGGAATGGAAGAACCATAGACATTATGAATGCCCTCAGCATTCATATGGGAGGCTTTCTCTGTTTGAAGCAGGAGATGAACGTACAAAGTCATATATTAAACCAGACTCTTAAAAAGCTTATAGATAAAGAGCTCACTGTGAGAAAATGATGTAATTTTTCTCTGTTTCTAGTGAACTGGTGATGATTTTTAAGAGTTGAAAACAAATGTCAAAGTAATTTTAATGCACAGTGCACACAGAAACACTACAGGAACAAACCTCAGCAAGGAATTTAAAATTGAGCTTTCCCAGTGTAAGAACTGATAAATATATTTCATGCAATATTAAAAAGAAACACTGAGCACTCCTGAAAACCAGGCTTCTTCCACTGAGGTGCCTTAATAAATATTTAGGAAATTAATTTGTGAAATCTTACCTATTTCCTGACTCTGACTCCATCACTTACAATAAGGATTACTTTAGCCAAGTCAGGCGAACTATCAGCTAAGCTACTTTTCCAAGCCAGTTGGAGAAATTCTACATAAACACTGGTAATTGCCACAAAAAAAAAGGGACAGCTTTCTACAGGGTCAAGTCTGATCTATTCTATCTCAAATAACAGCTTATGTAGCTATTCATGAATTCTTCCACAAACCAAATACAAAAATGGTCTCCTAACAAAATAAACATCTCCTGTCTACGCAAAAGGGACATGATAAACAATAGTAATATAAATACTTGAAAAATATGAATAATATCTTGCCAGTTTCCATTAAGATACAAAAACATTTTTAAAAGACTGAGGTTAAATACAGGAAATGTTTGCATTTCAGAGGAAATGGGAGCAGAAAAGATGAGCCAAAATAAAATCTTTCAACTCTGTAACATAAGCTGAATTACAGGAATATGAAACAGCAGCTTCAGTAAAGAGCAGTGACTCAAATTTTTGACACTTGCAGGAAAAACATAAAGGTGCTGAACTAAAGCAGAATAAGAGGTCTGATTTGTAGCTGCATGAATTGGCACGACACCACTGAAATCAGTGGAGCTTTTCTGATTGAAACCTCATGAAGTCAACTGAATGGTGAAAAGTAAGGGCTGGCTAAGAATTAGAGCTTCCAGACTGATACAGCCAAAACTGAGGAGGCTGAGTACACTTCAGGTTAAGTTCATAATAAATGTCCATAATAAATGTGTTCTGCATGTGCTTCTTTCCTAATCAGCTTTATATATAAACTCAAGGGGCTACTGCCTTTCTGTTGCTGCAGCTGCATTTCACTGAATCTTGCCCTAAGATGACTTACTTCATTTTATTTTCATCTGCCATTTTATATCTATATATCTACTTCATTGTCTAAAGATGATCTGCAAAATTGTACAGGAAAGATTCTTCAAAACTTGTGTTGGAACCAGCCTCCCAGTAATTCATATACATTTTTAAACATCAAAACATTTCTAAAAACGTCTTAGGCCCTTAGGAGCTACTTGCTCAGGATGTTCTAAGTTGACTAAGGTAACACAGATGAAGCCTCAGACTGCTGAGACTAGACTGCCTCAAGGTACTCAAACTGCTTCATGTGCAGTTAAGTAATGTATCGCTGCATGGCGGCTTCAACATAAGCATCACAGTAGATATCCACACCCCACATCAGTTTCAAAATAGTCAAAATAATTTCAAACATGCCCATGAGAACATTGCTAAAAAGAGCAAATCTTTCATGAGGTACTTTAAACCCTTTATCAAACTTCTCACTGTTCACATGAAAGCAGTACAGCTTACCACTGCCACATTTGAAAGTAGCAGTTTAGTTGCCCATGTGTTAGCAGGAGAGGAAAGCTTAGTGTGGAAAGATGAGAGGGACTGACATACAGAGGGGGAAGGAGGGTGGTTGTCAGCTTGCAGTAATTGAGGCCCTCAGTAAGCGGCACAACAAAACTGCACAGCAATAGCTGTGTATTTTGTACCAAAAGCTGAATAAAAAGCTCAGCCTTGTTGCTATGATGCAAGCAGCCAGAGTCCTATCCCTACAGCTGCCTGGTGCAAAACAGACATAAACCAGCTCCAGCCTGTGTTACTGCAGTTGTAGCTCAAGCCCTTACACTGGCATCATCCTACCCTGCAAACGCTGTTGCTGAGCCAGGGGCAATACATGCAAACTAATTCTGTTGAGGCTGTGGCACCAAGCAAGGTCACATATGTCTCTTCTGTTCCTCAGGTTAGGGTGATAAAATAATGAAGATTCTAGGTCCCCCGGTATTAACATGACTATCCTAAAACTCAAACACACAAGGGTCAGCCTCAATTTTCTCCACATTAGACACGGTTTTAGAGAAGCATGGAATAGTTAGGGTTGGAAAGGACCTTAAGCTCACCCAGTTCCAACCTCCCTGCAATGGACAGGGACACCTCACCCTAGACCACGCTGTCCAAGGCCCTATCCAACCTGGCCTTGAACACTACCAGAGATGGAGCATTCACCATGTCTTTGGACAACCCATTCCAGTGCCTCACCACCCTCACAGTAAAGAACTTCTTCCTTAGATCTAACCTGAACTTCTCCTGTTTAAGTTTGAATCCATTACCCCTTGTCCTATATGCTTATTTCTTGTTGGTTTACAGGCTTATCTTTCTTTATAGGTGTTTTGGAGCTCTTGACATTTTTCACACCTTGTAGGTAGCAACTGCAATAATGACTGCTTGGATATGCCCAGAATAGTACTCTCCTAGTCTGTAATACTCCCCAGAGATTTTATGTTTGGCCAATTCGTTTACATGAGGGAAAAATTCTTTACAAGGACGGTGGTAAAACACATGCACAGGTTGCCCAAAGAGGTGATTGATGCATCGTCTCTGGAGATATTCAAGGCCAGGCTGGATGTTGTTCTGGGCAGCCTGATCTAGATGAAGATTTCCCTGCTCATTGCAGGGGGGCTGGCCTAGATGGCCTTTGAAGGTCCCTTCCAACCCAAACTATCCTATGATTGCCAAAATATGAGAAAATTATACCTGATGGAAAAAAAAAGATAATATACAAAAATTTGGTTAGCATTTAAGAGGGTTTACAGCCAGGGAATGGAAGGACAGCAGACAGAGGACTTGCACACAGTATTTTGCTAGACTTCAAAAAAAGAAAAAATCAGTGGGGGATTTATGAGAATAGGGGAAACAGAACCTGCGTAGGGATTTGCTAAGCAGTTCTTTCAAACTGCTTTTGACAAAATGAATGACAGTTTTGAAAAGCCCATTTTTTTAAGATTTTAATGCTACATCAAACATGTCCTGTTAGATCACATCACAACTGAGGCAAGCTAAAGGGATGTGTAGTGAAGAGAGATATCAGCCCAGAAACTGTGTACGTTCATACACACATGCACAGTCTCTTAATCCTGCATTGCTCTGAATTCCACGTGAATAACCATGATTCACAAAACTTTACAGTGCCCACCTAATCTTAACTTAAATGCCTGTGGGTTACAAAAGTGAGCTAATTGTTCATACTATTTTAAAGAATATATTTTTGCTCATTTGCTCAACACAGATGTTTTCCAGATTATGCCAAACATAAGCATGTAAATAGAAATGAGTGCAAGTAGGCATTAGGCATCTGAGCTCCAGGATATTTCCAGGCCAAAGGAATGGTGAGAGGCAAGGTACAGTAACTGTTCTGAATGCTCTGCTCACCCTTTAGCTGGAAAAAATGAAGTGAGACCAAAATAACATTACTTCTCATCACCTAGCAACACTCTTCTTGCTATAGGAACATAGCCAGTTATGAGAAAAAAACAAATTAAAGAGGGCAGAATGACACTCTGTCCCAGACAGTCCAAAGCATATTGTAAGGTGACAGATACTGAGCAACATAATGCACAATTAGCCTAATAGCAGTTTTCAGAGGCTTGCAGTCTGTCATCTCTGCAGCCATACTCTGCAGAGTTCCTCCAACCGAGCTATCTTAATGCCTTATGACAGCCCTGTAGCAATAAATCTTGTTCCTAAAAATAAACTACACATAATGTATCTTCCATTCTCTGGAAGTATGAATAATATTCAGAAGCCTCCAAACTGTTTTCCTAGAGATTCATTCACATTATTGTACAGGCTGCCAAAGGGAAGATCTACAAAGCAGGAAGAAATTGGAGATCACTGGGTCGTCTTCCTGCTGTCAGACTTCAGAAAGGCATTATTACTTTTTTTTTTTTTTTAAGTAGACTGATACAAAACTATTTGGTATAAGCTAGATTCAGCAGTAAGACATGAACAGCAAAAACATAACCAGCCACTTTAGCAATGATTCATTAAAATGCAACGTACTCCTTTTGGATCGTGATCTGTGACTGTGCAAAAATAGCAGTTAGGCTATCTTGTTTAACAAGATAACAATTTTAGAAGTTACATTACATGTCTGAAATCTACCTTTAATTTCACTAAAGGTTAAAAATCAAATTTCCAATTGAAAACTTTATGTCAATCATGTAACAGGCATATTGAGAGTATTACTGTGTATATTTATTTGCACAACATATAGATGTGTATAGTGAACCTCAAAACGTAACAGCAGAATTTACTGAAATGTAAGTTTGGTTTAGGGAGAGGAAAGAACTTTTTAAAACATTTTAAGCTCCCAGAGGCATTAGTATCAAGTCTCTGCAGGAAGGCTCTCTACCTCTTTGAGTAGGTTATCTCATTAAACAAACCCCCTTTCCTACTACCTGTTTGAGATGAATTCTTGTGCTCACCTTCAACAATATTTCATTAAAGCCAATTCTAAACAATGAGAAAACTTAAAACCAGAAATACCCACCGAATCACAGGTTTTTCTGGATTTTTTTCACCAGTTTCTCTCCAGGCAGCCTGTACAACATCATGCAGTCTGCAGATGACTCCCTCTCTTTTTTCTCCCATTCCAGACTCTTGTGGAAGAGAAACTGCTACTGCCCTCAGCAGCTAATGGTATTTGATCTAAACACTGAGGTTCTGCATCCTTTGGACAGAATAATTGCACTGCAGAAATTGCACACAGACACCAGCTTTATTTCCCTGTAATGATGGGGTTAGTTCTCAGGCTCGCAGGAGTTAAAGGTCACAGCTGTGGCCCCATGGTTAATGCAAGAGGAGGAAGGAAACCTCAGCATCCCACCTGCAAGCTGAAAACCACAGGAATGTGTTACCTTGGAAGAACTCTGATCTCCTGCTTACAGAAGGTAAGCTCCTGTTTAGCCCCAAGATCCTATCCAAATGAAAGGCAAACACCTCGCTGATGTCGAGGGGTCTTTTGACGATGCCACAGTGTCCCTGATTACAAGCAGCTCCTGTCGTGCTGGTACCTCCTGCAAATACTACCCGGACTGCTTTGTGAGAAGATACTCCTTGAATGCTTCCTATCCGAGAATCTGCTAGCCTGCGCATGTTTAGGATATCATCTTTGCTCAGCCAAGGGGGAGAGCTCTCACTGTAAATCCTGATATTGCTTTCCTCAGGCTGGGGTTGTGCCTTTATAGCTTCAGAATTCCCTCCAGGTCTCCGGTGACCCCTCTCCCTGATTGCCATTCCTTTATGCCTGTGTTCATCCTTGTGCTTTCCTGCTTCCAGGGCTATTGGTGCTCCCATTGTGCCAGCAGCATGCGTGGCCTTCCCTGGCTGTTGGGCAAAGGCCTCTTCCCGGCCAGTAAAAGTGGCTTTTGGAAAGTGCTGCCCATAGGACAAAGGAGTTGCATGTTTCTTCCTGCGTTTTGGCTTCACTGTGCCTCTGATGTTGGCAGGCTTGCTGCGCTTGGACCGCAAGGTGATATAAACTACATTGGGTGGCAGCAAGGTCCCATTGCCACCAAGCTGGGGTTCCTGGAAATTGGGCGGTGACAGGGTGCCATCCAGTGGGATGCCCAGAAAAGGAGTTTGGGCTGCATCTTGGAGACTTCTGGAACTGATCTTTTGGTGTCTTCCTTTGTGCTGGGGTAAAATGTGACCCACTTGACTGACAAGGAATCCCAAGTAGATCACACATGCAGTGCCCACTAGCAGGTTCCTCCTTGTCCTTGGGCGCCTGCAAGTCCAGAGTCTCAGCAACCGTGCAGGGCACGAGCAGCAAATAAACAAGTTTTTGATTTTACTTGGCTGATCGAAGGTGGTCATTTCTCTAGTGAATCCACATGGTGAAAACAGCATAAAGTCTTCCATACATTCCAGTCAGAATGATGATGCATGATTTCCCTTCCCCAATTTCTATTTCTCCTTTTCAAAATAGCTTCCAGCATGGATGATGGACAGAAGCTACTGATATGCCTGGGAAAGAGTTTAGCACTAAGGATGCTGACACTCCACCTTCTCAAGCCACTGAATTCTTATCAGCCACCACAGGGGAAGTGACTGGCTTCAGAGAATGAATGGAGCTGGCTGCGTAAGCAAAGTTTACTGACTTGTAGCATAAAAGATCTGAACTACCTCCTTTGCAAACTGCAAAAAGAAAACAGCAGTATTTCATTACCCACACATGGCATCTGTGGTTCTGTATTTTTAAGAGACAGAAGTTTTAAATGAGACAGCATGCATCTAGAAATATGTCAGGATACATCTTTCACTTTCTCATTACAGTATAATTAAACACCAAAATCATTAAATAGAGGCTCAATTTGTAGTCTCAGCTAGCTGTTTTCAAGCATTAGAAGAAAAGCTTGTCAAACCCAGATTATCATCTTTTTCTTATAAGACAAAGCCTTCACTAAACCTCATGTTATGGAAATGCTGTAAATTATACAGTATTAACCACCAATAACTGTAATAGTTAAATATGTACATAGTAATTTAAAAACTCATTAGTAGTGCCAAATTTCCCTAGCTGAATATGAATATAGTTCACAAAATTCATAAACAATTCAAAATTCATTAAAGGTGAAAGATGCTTAATTCTCTTCGCTCTTGTGAAGCATAAACAGGATCTAGCTATAGTTTTTTCAAATAAAATTACAGGAACATATGTCCTTTCAAAGAAACAAAGGTAGAATAACTGCATGTTGTATATATAGGTATAAAAATATAAAATCTCTTACCTATTCAGCTTGACACATCCTTTGTTCTGGAAAACTCCTTAAGTTAATAGAAGTAACTTAGTAAAAGCCGGCGTTCTCAAAGTATTCTAGCACATATTTCAGTTTTAAGTATAGTTCTTATCTAGGTCTTTCATTGCTGCAAGCTACATACCTTTTGGAAGCTAACTGTACTGAGAGGTGGTTTGCATATGAACTGCTATAAACATACATGAACCCCGTGTTATTAAAAAAAAAAAAAAAAAGCAACAAACAAAACCAAACTCCAGCAACTTCTATTTTCAATTCTGTAATGAAAAGTCCTGTGAAGTATGTGCCTTCCAGAAGTGCATTCCATCCATTTCTAACTCCTGAGGGCCCTCTAGTGCACTACACGCAAATGTACTGCAGAAATTCCCACTTCCCATGCTTGGTTGTTTTGGGTTTTTTTTTTCATTTAAAATAAATCCCCTGCCCCCTGAATTTTAGAACTGTTGGTAATCATATCTTCTTGTGACGAGAAATGAAAAATCGATAGTGGCTTTTAAAATGGTATTAAACATGCTATTAAGCGGCTCAGGAGTGCTTCCTATTTGTGCTTTCCAAAATGAGGCATAGCATACTCATTACACAGCTGGAAAAGTTGAGGCAGAGAGAAGAGCTTGTATAGAGTTAAGCAGCGAGACACTGGCAAAGCTCAGACTTCTGCCTCCTTGCCTAGTCTTAGTGCAAAATAATATAATGTATATGTTCTCTGAAATTCAAGCTGAAAGAAAATATTCTCAGTTAATACTAAAAGGAATAGACAGTTAAAGAGTCGGTTCATGTTTTAGATGGGTCCAATCTGAATTTATAAAACTTTGTGATTGGAATTTTTCACTGGATATCATTTTCCTTTTAGTCTAAATATGTACTACAGAGTTCAGACTCCAGCAACTGAGCCTGTTACCAGGAAAAGAGCCTTCATATCTTTATGCTTTTTTCAAATCTGAGGAATAGAGATTGTAAGAAATCCCTCTGGACACTTAAGTGGTTTGTTTGTTTTTTTCTTAGTTCAAATTTGAATGGACATATCCCAAACAAAGATTAACTGAAAATGCTCCAGGCAGGTGTTATCAATAAAGTCAGTAAAGAAAGATGTGGCTATTGCTGCTTAACGTCTTTTATACTTTAAAGAACTTGCCAAAGATGGACATTATTAGATCAGCCTTGGATGCTTGAGGGTCCCTTTGAAAGATGAAGGGTCATATTGAGAGACACCAAGTTTGCAGCCCAAACAACAGACACTGTACATGGCTCTCAGAGAGAACAGCCTTCTGCACCCTTTTTAATATCAGTGCAAAGTGAGTGCAAAATACCAGCAAAATCATATGGCTAAACCCAAGGTAAAAACAGGTAACTGGGTATTGCAGCGTGAGAGCAGAATTTCATTCATTGCAAATGTTTACACATACTCATGAAGAAATTGTTTTTAAATGCTCAAGATAGGCTCCCCTCCTTTAAGGATCAATAAGGATTTTGACAGTAAATAATTCAGCATGGAGTTTTTACTCCACTATATTTCTTCTAAGTGTCTTTGAATTGGCTATTTTTTTTATTTTACTTTGTATTGCTAATGGCACAGAGTTGCTCGAGTTGGAAATGTATCACGCTGCAATAGCTGCTCTCAAACATCGTCCTTGCATGTAGACTGCATCACGACCTGTCCATTAAAATCAAGCAGTTCCAAAACAGAGTCCATTCCTGTCACTAACAGCTTTCCTTTGCTATGACATTTTTCTTAAAATAAATTTTGGAACCTATATAATCTTTCTACTTCAACTCTTTAAGGATTACCTTTAAATTAGAGGAAATCACAATAGGATATGAAGAGATCTTATTCACTTCTCATTTGGTTTGTAGCCCTGAAATCAAAATGTGGTGTACCCACTGATGTACAGTGTTGAATGCCCAGCGGGGTTTTAGGCTTTCTAAGTGTGATAATGGCAATATTTCCTTTATTTTTTCATGTTCAGAAGGGAGAATGCATTCCTTAAATGCTGCACCACTATATTGTCTGGAATGGATGGTGGTAGGAATTCAAAAAATAGAACTCAGTATCTTCTAATGTAGCAGATACTTGCCTCTAATTTGGGTTCTTTAAAAGATAACATATGAAGAGATGTTCCTTATTTCAGCTCTTGTGATGAACAGCTCCAGTGGTGTACAGCTCCAGTGTCCTACTAGTTTTTACAAAATAATTAAGGCTGGAATGGTTATAGAATTATTTGGAAACCAAACATTTCTTTGTTTTTCAGGAAAGACAATGTTTGTTGTTCAGGCGGGTAGTATTCTTTTTTTTGGAAACATTACTAACCCAATGCTGCAGGTGGGCACTAACAGGCATTACTGAGCTGAAAGGGTTTTTCCTCTGTGGTCAGAAATATTTAGGACCCTTTTTTTAAAGAACAGACTGAAGAACACTAGTTTTCTGACCAAATTCTGGCCTAGGTTATGGCACTTTCCCTATCTATATTTAAGCCTGTAATGTCAGTCAGATTCTATATTTATTCCTTGCTCTAAACTCTGTGTTATTGCCATCTGCATACATTAAACACAACCCATGTTATTTCTTTCTATACACATATTCTGTGCCCAGTGTTATCCTTTCCTTAGGTTAGGAACATGGGAATATCAAGTCCTGTGTTCCTAAACATAAATCATCCTCCCCTGTGCAATCTTCCTATAGCCTTTCACCTTTGCATCCTTCTTAATCCTACCAAGTACAGCTTCTTACTTCTCGTTCTACTCCTTTTCTACAACTTTTTTCATTGGTGACCTTCCTTTAATCCAGACTAAGTACAGCCTTTAGGGACAGTGAATACTACACCTGGAGAACTAAAGAAAAACAAAGAGAAATCAATTTATAACAACACAGTGATGCATTATTATCAATACAAAAAGCTACATAGTAGTATGTTGCTCTCCAAAATGCCAGAATGGTGTCAGTTTTTACAAGTATCAGGTTTGTATTTTAAATACATCTCCTATTTCTTCATCTAACCCTTCCCTCTTGCTCCACTCAGTCATTTCAGTTTTAAAAGATACAGGATTTAAAGATGCTTATTGTTTTCTTTTAGTTTTCCAAGATGTCTCTGTTTGGTTATTCCCACTGCAGTTATGTCTGCAGAAGTTGCTGGAATTCAGCAAAGAACAAAATATTGCTTGTGCTGGTTTGTAGAGCATTTTGCAATAAAAGACCCTCTTTAAGTGGACACTTGTTATATTCATAGAAGGCTCTGAAATATGAATGTGGCCATTTTTCATTTTAGCAAATACTGTGAATTCATGGTCCTCCTTTCCCACATAGTTTTCAACTCCAGTAACCTATGATTTCAATAAAACCAAACAGCACGAATGAGTCAGAATCTGCCCATATTTGAGGTGCTTCATTTGAAGTGTCATGTTAACTGTTGCGTTAATGACAAAAACAATGCTTCAAAACCAGCATGGTTTGAAGAAATTGCAAGGAATAGATGAACAGTGAGGAATAGATGAGCCTTAGTTCGAGTGGAGCAGAGTCAGTAACTAGAAGTCATTGCCAATGACTCCTCTGAGATTCATTCTTCCAAATGATACCAGGGCAGGATTTTTGAAAAACGTTTTATTCAATATCAGGATTCTTCAGAAGCCAAAGCTCATCACCCCTCTTTGTCCCTGGACACCTGGAAGGATGTAGTTTCGGGTTAGGCTCCTTATTATGCATACTCTTGTTTTCTATGTGAAGCTAGTTCAATGTAAATAATTAATGTTTTTCCTAACATTTTCCTTTTTTTTTTTCTGAATAAAATAATGTAACACAAAGACACACATTGCCTTTATAATAAAAAGTACTTCTTTCTTCCCAGCCTACATTTGTGATTATCATATGGGATGTTGTTCCTCTTGGATGCACTACAGCTAAATTGTTTCCATAGAGATGTTCTGCAGTTCATCTCTCTAAATGTCACACGGGCAGGCATTTATATTAAAATGATTGATAAACGGTGCACTCCGTCTCAGCTTTACTGAATCCATGGGACTGAGAACTTACACTCTGGAGAAAAAAAAAACATATGTCATTATGGATAATGCGGATTTGATTTGCAAAAGATGAAGCGTTACTTTAGGCTTGTGCTGTGCTCATAAGGAGATGAATTTGGGCTGCCATCTGGAAGCTGTACACCAAGAAGACAGAGAGAAATGTTTGCTTCCTGACTAAACATGCTGACTAATAGTCTGCGCTTCAACTGGTCTGGGCCAGATCCTTACAGGGAAATCTGCAAAAATCTCTTCTTGACATCATGCAAACCATGAAGGCAGCTCCCAGCGGGCGGGGAGGCCTCCCGGGGCGAGGGAGGAGCCGCAAGGCGGACACCCGTCCCCCTTGGGCAGGAGTCCTGCCCTCAAACTGTGCCCGTGGACTTCGGCCAAAGGCAGGGTGCACAGCACGGTACCAGCGACAGCGTGTGAAGTACACAGGTGCACTTCCACTTAGCATAAAAAGCCATCTCATCGGCCGCGTTTCAGCTCGGGGAGACGTAAAGAAGCTCTTATCACGCCCTATTTGCCCAAATTTAACATTTCTCTTAGTGTTTCACCCTCCGCAAGACTGGCAGCCGGTGCCCCGGGAGAGCCCCTGCGCCCCGATGGGTTGCCGCAGACCGGGATCGCCTCCGCGACGGCTGCCGGCGGAGTACCGGCGGACGAAACGGGCGCGGAAGCTCGCCTCGCCCTCCGCCGGCTCGCCTCCACCCGCTCCCGGCCCTGGGAGCGATGGGGAAGGGGCGGGCCGAGGCAAGGGGCGGTGCAGCGGGCGGTGAGGCCCGGGCGGGAGGCCGGTGCGCCGGGGGAGGCCTGTGGGTGACCTTGGCAGTAGCGCGGCGGGAGCTGGCACGGAGCTGGGTGGGCAGCAGCGGTGGCCGGGGTTTAGCGGCAGGCTTAGGCAAGGGAACAGGCGGTGCGGACCCATTGCTGGCCGCCTCCCCGCTGGCTGCGGGAGCGGGGCGCTGTGAGACAGGCCGCGGCGGCTGGGGAAAGGTGTCCGCATCGGGTGGGGGCTCTCGAGTTTTCTGTCGGGGCGCGCTACCGAGCAGTTGGCCTTCCGAGGACCTGGCGCTGCCTTTAGCGGCGGCCTCGGCCTGTCCCGCCTGTGTGTCCCGCTTGCAGCCTGGGCCTGCCCTGCGGAGCCAGCCCCCGGCTTGTTGGCGTCTGTAGAAGCAACATTCGCTCGGCTGCGTGTTCTTCCTTGTTTCCTTTACTGAAAATACTGCCCAAAGAATGTCTCGCAAATGCATTCATCTTAGGAAAGAGAAGAAATGTTTCTTGAGCAGCTAGCAAGGGGTTGTGGTGTCACTTGAGGATGGCACTCTCTGCCATCTGGGACTGATGGAAGTCTGCTAAAATAAAGATGAAAGTATCCACCCATGATGGCAAATAGATGATAGGAGAAACAGACAAATAAATAATGTGACACGCAACCTCTAAAGATACCTTTCAATTCGTGTAAACAATTTCTTTAGTATCTTGACAACAGCTTGGATCTGTTTTGAGGTGACAGTTCTCAAGGGCAGGCTTCTTGATTTCATGCTCGTCTGTGGAGATGGCAGCAATGTGTTGCTGAGTGTTGTAATTTGTTGTGTCGCTGTGCAAAGGGAGAAAATGGTGTCATATTTCTGAGGAAAGAGGGAAAACACAGAGCACAACCTTCCAGTAAGATAAACCAGTGAAGTTAGTAGTAGAAGGGCAGCATGTGCCAACCAAATTAGATTGTATTTCCTCTGCAGCTTGAATTGCCCTTCAGTAAGGGCTACCTAGCAAAAAGAACCCTTCAATAACAGCAGTAATTCCAGTTGTCTCTGCTTGAGTTGCAGATACAACCACTATGTTGTAGTATCTTAGCAGCTTGGGGAAGTGCTGCTCGTTTGGCATTTGGTAGCTTGTAGGCTTTGGAGTCATGTATGCTGCAAGTCTACCTGGCAGTAACATAGGATTGTAGAGAAGAGGCTTTTAATGACCTCTGAAGTTTTGTGATGTGCAAAGATTAGCAAAATAAAGTCAGCTTAATGCTGTATGCCAGAGTAATGCCAATTCCAGAGTCACTCAGCTTGAATGGGACCTCTGGAGTTCATCTGCTTCAACTCCATGCTCAGAGCAGTGCTATCAACAAAGTTAGAGCAGGTTGCTTCAGGCCTTGTCTGGTTGAGCTGTCTCTTGAAGGCTTTAAAATGGAGTTGAAAGCCGTGTCTGAAATTTAGACAAATTTGGAGCTAAGTGCCCCAAAGTTTGGAAAGTTACAGTTTTAAACAGTCTGAATGAAGCATGCTCTTCCATAGTTAGCTGGAAGTTGTGTTTCCTTTCCGGTTTTGGTGTCATGATGTTGGGTCTCCAGTTGTGCAACAGTCTTCAGCGTGCACAATATAGCGAATTTTGGAAGATAAAGGGCAAGCAGAAAAATGTATTGCCCCTCAGCATCCAGATTTTCTCTTAGTAAATACAGAACTGAAATACTTTAAAAGTAACATTTCTTTGTCATTAACAAAAATCAAAAAGGCTGATAAACGACTTTAAATTTGAAAGGTTCTTAGTATCTTGCCTGAATAGTGACTTACTTATTTAAAGGCCAAAGGACTGAGTCCTGTGTTCATAGAGATGCAGGGTAATCAGATTTATTTCTATGTTCTTAACAGCATGAAGTTCTTCCCATACAAAACCCACGTTTTGTGCCTTACTTGTCCTCTAAATGAATTGAGTGTATTCACTCAGTGAAGCAAGGCTGATGGAATGAAGATAGCTGATGTAAACCATTATCTTTCTTAATCCATTCATGTAGCATAACTATGTTTCTTAGCCCATGAAGTCAGTCTTTGAAGAAATCCCAGCATTATTATTTGCACTGCTTAGTGTCTACAGGTCCTAGATAAAACATACTTTATAGAGGAGTCTTAAACACAGTGGAAACTTCCTGGAGAAGCTTATCCTCTAAGTAAGCAGGAAAGATGAAGCGAGAAGGAAAAAATGATAAGATAAATGAAAATACCTGTGCTGTTGTACTTTCCAGATGTGTCTCCTAGATGTAATCTTGTGTTTTTCTTAAGTACCCAAAAATATACTGACATCCTTTAAGAGGAAAAAATTATAGAAACTAAATGGTTATATTAGTTATGGGATTGAACTTTTCACCTGATAATGCAAATAAATAATTTCAGCTGACTGATGCCCCTGTGTAAGCTGTAGATAAAAGCACAATGTCAGCAGATGCACTTCTCAGTGTCCTAAAGACTCCAGAGAAGGTAACACTGGAGGGTAAAGCAAGATGAAAGGATGTGCAGCAGCTCGACTCTTCCTTTTGTGCAGAGAGTGTAGTCACAGCATCCTTTACAAGACTTGGCAAAATTTCTGCCATCCTATTTCAGGTTTTTTCCTCCAGACAGTAGCTAGTTCACCTACACTGGGGAATGTCAAACTACATTAAGATGCCATTTGAGTCAGTATAAATAGCATTACTTCAACAGTAGGATTGCATGTGTATCTCTATAAATATGCCCCTTTGTACTCACAGCATATTAAGTATGCTGCTGCCATTTGAAGGTAAATTTCCAAATGCTTTTCTTATATTTAGTCTTTTACGTGCATCTTAAGATTGTGTATGCAAAGATCATATTGTTACAGTTGTCCTTAGAGCCACTTTTTCTGTGAAAGTCACAATCTATATCTGAAGTACGTGTGTAGTACTTCTGTTGAGTGTAACCTCAAGATGAGTCTCCCCTTCAAAGAAAAAGAGAGGTATAATGGGATTAAAAAAAGTCTTTGCCTTTCTTATTATAGTGATGTGAAATGAACTAAGAAACTTTAGAGGCAGTTTCTTCCTTTGTTACCCACAGAAAAAAATGAACCTTTATTCACATTTTGTATCAGCTAGAGCAATCCCTGTGGTTATCTTATGATCCTATATTAATCCTGCTGTGGCATCTATAGAATCTCTGTGCCAGTTCCTGACGCCCAGGAAGCAGGGCTGCATTTGCTATAGCTTCTGCCAATTAAGATTTTGTCTCTAACCCCTGCTTTTTCACTCATCCCAGTGTGACCCCCACTTTGGCTACAGGAGTAAGGAATATTCTGGTACCGCATCTCACTAGAGTGTCAGGTCTCTCAGATTCAAGCCCTCATAACCTTTGCGTGCATCTGTACATTGGTATTGTGTGGTTTTAGACATGCTTTTCTGTGAAGCTTATTATGAAACACACGATAGTGATATATTTGTGTGTGTGCATCTGTTCTTATGTTACTTCATTCATGGTTTATGGCAGCTTCCCATGGGATTCTACAGTATACTTCCCTGTTCTGTCCAGCTTCTGAGAGATTGATAAGTAGGGTCCTTTAAGTTTCAGATTTCTGAACTAGGTTGGTATTATAGAGTAATAGAATGGTTTTGGTTGGAAGGGACCTTAAAGATCATTTAGTTCAGCCCTCCCTACCATGGGCAAGGACATCTACTAGACCAGGTTGCTTAATGCTCCACATGTTTAATTCCACTCTCTGATTTCAGAATCTGCCAGGTCCCTCAGCAAGACAACTTCACAAAGAGGCACCTTCAGAGCAAAGATGAACATTGGAAAAACTTACAGTACCTTTAATGTCAGCAATGGAACGGATCTAGCTATTGGCTTTACCTCGTCCACAGTAGCTGTCCTTCTATTTGGGACAAACTTTGTGCCTGTTAAGAAATTTGATACCGGTGATGGTAAGCTTAGTTATATTCTTTTATTGGTTTTGGTATTTTTGCTAATAGCAATAATATTTTGCCAGCAAATACAAGAGTTTCTATAGTTAGCTTTATAAACAACTTTAATGTTTTAGTTTTCTTTGCTATTATTATGGTATAAAACAATAGTGTATTGGTTTAGGATGTGGCAAATCTTTAGGAGAGCCTTTCTATATGTTGTTACGCACTTCAAGAGTGATGATGTGTATTTCATGACCATTTAACAATGAAAATTTAAATTTTATTTTTTCTACCCTTGTGGGGGTTCTCAAATTAATATATTATTTATATTGTAAAAGTTGTTGAACTTCAGAGTATTGCCTTTCCACTGGGGACCTAACATAAAATCCATCAAAAATTGAAATTGCAGTTTGATCTGGTGAGTCAGTGAGAGGAAACAATCACTTCTATTTCCTAATTGGAATTTTTAACATTTTACTAGGTTTGTGTCATATTTACATGTTTGTGTGATGCATAGTCAGTTAACAGATCCCTAGATGAATAAATCTGCCATTGTGTTACTGCAATAATAGTATCTGCATTACAGGCAAGGCTAGACTTCAAAGCAAAAGTCTTTGCTCAGCTGGTATAAAATCAGCTGGTCTGCCTTGCTGACCCTTAGAGAGATTGGTCCAGAGTTTTTGTCATCCTCAGTGTCCTGGATTAGTGGAAGAGCCTGAGCCTTGAGCTTTGAAGGAGTTTTGTCCTGTGCAGTCATCTGTGTTACTTGCTACTAGGGTGGTGGAAGAAGTTTGCAGTAACTGAACACCTCTTTGTCAGAAACCTGTCAAAAGTGTTTGAGAATCAGGGTTTGTTTAAACTTTATGCATCAAAATATCTTTTGCAGCTGCATATAAAGAATGCATGGTAAGGAAAAGATTGACAGAATTATAACATACAACCCTAAAATGTATCTTTTGAATATACTGTAACATGGTTCCCTGAAATTCACAAAGGAGGTGGGCGCCTTTCACATTTTTCTGTACTATTTTATCTAAAGCATAGAATGTTAAGAGATTCACACATGTAGTATTCTACAAGTTCTCTTTTGTGTGCATTTGATTTTTTCCATAGGCATGTTCTTCCAGTGGATTCTCTGTGCCTCTATATGGGTAGTTTCTTTGGTGGTCAATTTAATCCAGAATTGCCCGCGGTTTTGGCCTCTGGCTATGGTTGGGGGTTTTGTGTGGGCTACAGGTAAGGATAAAGAAGTTCTGTTTCTTGAAACCCAAAGTAATCCTAACTCTTCATAAAAAAACAGTGATAAAAATTTGTCAATATATAAGGTAATAGTTACTTGGTAGCTGTTTGGCTTTTTAAAGTTTTTCTGCTACTGGAGCTGTATCCTTATAGAAAACATTATTTATTATGCTTATTTTATACAGCAAATTCACAAAAAATAGCTTTTAAAATGGTATTGAGGAAAGAAACATGTTTGATATACTTATTTTTGTAAAACACTGTTTCCTACCACCTTTGGTTGCCTAAAATTCTTTGCCTTCTGAATAGTCACAGAATCTAAAGCAAAAATATACAAGATTACAGTCTAGTTTTTCATTAATTTGAATTTTGCTTTTTCTGTTTTAGGCAATGTTACAGTTGTCCCTATTGTTAAAACTATTGGTTTAGCTCTTGGTCTTTTGATATGGGCTTCTTTTAATTTGCTGACAGGTTGGGCAAGTTCAAGGTAAGTTAGTTTAAATCTCAAGTCATACGTCATTAATATTGCCAGTTCATCGTTAATGACTGCAGTGAAAACACTGTCACCAATAAAGAGGATTTATCATACATGCAAGATCTTTTTTTCATCTCGGTGGAAAGTACGCAGATTAATTATTTTATCCTTTTGTGTTTCCTCTGTCTTATTAGGAAGATGAATGCCCAGTGATGTTCACTAACATAATTGAGGGAATAAATAATGTATTTGTTAAATGTAAAACTAGTACACTGCTTGTATTTTTTGGTCTACAGCATGGACTGATAAAATAATTTAAATCAACTTCAATTTTTAAATAGATTTTTAAAAATCAATGTAAATTAAATTTAGTTTAAAGTTTATTTTTGTAAAGTAGATGTAGCCAACAAGCCAGCTGAAGCACTGATCTGTTATTGAAAATACAAACTCAAGCAGAATTATTTATATGAGTAAAGATTTCCAAGACTGGGTTATAATTTAAGTATTTCTATTCAGTCAAGGCAACTAAGTGAAACTGATTGTTTCAGGTTTGGTTGGTTTGGAATTGACCCAGAAGAAGTATCAAGGCCAATCTTAAATTATATTGGAGCTGGGCTTTCACTATTAAGGTAAAAATCTATTCTTATAATAAATACCTGTAATGTAAAATACATATTTAATAACCATGGGGACAATTTAACTAGAGGGTACCTGTTTTGAAGTATTTCTTGGAAACTAATTTACTGCAGAATTTATGAGCTATCCATACCTAGCTGGTCAGAATAGAAACATATATAATACCCAGCACAGTGGTGAAATGGTTGTTCATAAACACAGAAATATATTTTTATGCTGGTAGGCATGTTCAAGGCAAAGCAGTGATATGCTGATTATCTCCCTAGCAAAGTAGTTCAAATGGTTCACTTTCCCCAGATTTTGCAAGAGGGAACACTGACTAGAAGGATCTTGGTGAGGAAATTCCTCCGAGATTTCTGATCTGACTTCACTCAGGGGTACAAATCCTTCCCTCTGAACTGTAGAACATGTGACAGGACCCCTTCCCAGTTCCTTTAAGGTCCATGGAAAGGCAGAGGCTTTGTATTATTTCTTGTCCTTAATAGCTCCCTGTCTTGTAACTGTTAAACCACACTTACAGCAACACCCAAACAGTGTCTTCCTTTAGGATCTTCTGAAAGGCCTTCTACTCTTCTTTCTGTTTATATTATTCATATGAGTGCACTTTGGTCCAAACACGCAGGAAAGATGGTCTTTGATATCTAGCGGTGTTCTTGCTTTCTGACTGAGTGGCCAGGAAGGTCTTTTCAGGAACATAATGGTGGTCCTAAATCCAAGGGGCAATAGGCTTGCCATAAGCATGCTAAGCAGTAGCTGAATGTAATGCCTTTAGGAAAAGAAGTGTGTTAAGAACATGGAGATGATGCAGCCATTCTTGATTGTTAGGAGAGAGCCAGTGCCTTAGATTAATGAATTTTGCTTCTGCTCTTCCTCTTCTAAGAGCCTGCAGCTATTTACCCATTACTGTTACATGTAGCATGTGATTTTGTGAGGTACTTAGAAAATAGTAGCAGTACTATTATTCCTGCCTGATGAGTTCATTCACCTCACCACCTGCTTCCTGCCTTTTTCTGAGATATCATGGAGAAGTGATCAACAGGGAAAAAGACGTTTTCCTGGCAAGCTACGCAACACCTGTGTATGTTGCTCTGCAGAGTTCAAAAGCATGTATTTCATTTTAGCCTCCTGTGTGGAACCTGTATATGGTTTTCTAGTCTCTCTGGAGGAAGCTGACGTCTTTTTATACCTACCCTTATCCCTTTAGTAGGAGGTGAATCATTCTTCAAATGGAGACGTTCTGTTTACAGTTATGAGAAGGAATTCCTATATCATTAAAATATCTTTCATAAAAATAAAAAAAAAACAGACCCTGTGCGTTCTGATACACATATTTACCTGCAAGCAGTAAAGTTACCCTTTCTTCTTTATTTTATTCACTTAGTGCACTGGAGCGCAACTGAGCAATACCTCTTCTCCTTCCACATATGCATGAGGCCCTGTAGGAGCAGTATTTCCTCACTCACATAGGACAGACGACTAAAAACTAACTTTTTTCCTTGAGCACAGTGCCAGTGCTGTGCAGGTTTAAGCTGTTCCATACAGAATTTTCAGGCAGATGTTCCACTGCATGTGTGGTTTAGTACAAAAAGACAGTGTTAACTAAAGCAACATTGTTAATGTGGTTGTAACTACACACTGTAGAAAGGAGACATTTCAATTCTGTTACATAGAAGAGAGATCTGAGAAGTGGTACAAAGACTAATCTATTTACTTGCGTTCACTTAAGTTGCTTGTTACGACTGTTAAAAGCAATTGCATTTTTAAAATACATTGAAGTGACTCTAAGGCAATAATGAAAATAAAGTATTATGCTTCCAAATACAGCTTTTGTCTCTGGACACTACTTGTTATGTCCTTAGGAGCTGACCTGGTATTTACTGGCCTTTTTTTCTCTTCTAAGTGCTGTCATATTTCTTTTTATAAAAACTGAAGTCCAGAGTTCTTCAACTTCATTAGAAAGCACGCCTTTACTGAGAGAAAGTGTAAGTACTCTACAGTTGTTATTTTACATCAGTGGAAGTGCATATCCATTTAAAAACAAAAGGCTTAATTTTAACCAGATTTGCTAGCATTTATGGTAGACTACATAAAACTACATAATTATGTGTTGATTCCAGCCCTAACTATTCTGTGATTATATTTAATTTGAAAATCTTGTATATACAACAAAATGTGATGAACAGAAAAGGTTTTTTCAAGCGTTTTTTCTCTATTGTGAGGTGTAAATGACATAGAAGTCCCTTTTCATTATGACAGACAGTATGTAAAAGACAGTGTGTTACTTTCCTATCCTAGAAGAGGAAGCAAGTTTAATTAAAACTATATAACTGGGAGGGTACTTAGATGAAAGGCAACAAGGTATAACTGTTATCCACCAGATCTTTGCCATGTTACTGAGCCAGGAGAATTCTCAGCATCAGTTGTGGCACAGATTGGAGATCAATGAGGGGTGCCACATTGGAAACAGAAGGTAGAGAGCGATAGGCTCCTACTACCATTGTCCCTTCCTGTTGTAGGTCAGTACGCAGTTGCTACCCGAACAGAGTCCCTCAAAGTTTTCTGGCTGTGCTCAATGCTCATTAGAGGTTCAAGTCTACCAGACAAATCATAGAAGACAAGCCAATTACAGGATTAGAATAAAGCGATGTTGCAATTTCTTTATGCTGCAGACAGGCCTTAATTTCCCTGTTTGCAAATAGGCCCAATATTCTGATAGTAACACCAGAGCTATCAACAAAAGGCAAACCCACATTATAAATAAAATCTATAGATTAAATCATTTATCAGATTTCAGAAAGTACAAGTTCTGAAGGTCAGATCTGTCCACATACAGATTAAAACATAATGCTAGTGAGTGCTCTATTACGTAGTAAACCCAAAGTGCATATCCAAACTTGCAGACGTCAGCATAGGTAGATCTAATTATTAGTTGTTTTATTAAAAGAAAATTATTCTACTTTCTTCAGAGTACTTCTGTAAATTCCTTTTGATTCTGTTTTTATTAGAGAAAACTGTTCTGTTTAATACAATGTTTGTTTTAAACTAAATTTGTGTGAAAACTCTTGGGTTTTTGCAGTCCATTAATGTTTCTGAAGATACCTCTGATGATTCATGGGTGAACAGACTTTCTCCAGCAAAAAAGAGACTCATGTAAGTTATTAACAGTTTCTCTTACTGATACAGGCCAAGTAGCCAGAGAAAGTAACTGAACACAGCATTAAGAGCAAAATTTTCATCTTGTAGTTTTTCTAGTGCAGTCATGCAGTAATAAATTACAGGTTTTAAGGTACTAGCATAGTGTGCATACCTATATACAAATAGCTGCACAGCTAATTAGGTTGTTTCCTTTGTACTGTTGAGTGTGCTTTACCTTACTAATTAAGTATTAGTTACTACTGTAAAAGAGCAAACATTTGGCAAAGTAAATATCAATAGCAACTAAGTAATAATCATAGAACTGTTTTTTATCACCTGCTTGATTAGCACTCCAGCACAGAAGGAGCCTATGCAAATATCATGATTCTGGGTGTGGTTTCCAAGTGAATACATCTGGAGAAGGCATGCTGGTGTGGTAGGGAGATATAAGTGCTTCAGGGTAGAAGCAGCAGCTAGCAAGAGGCCAGCATGGGAAATGGAAACAGTCAAGAATGCAATAATCTGGAGATTAAAGAGGCAGTGAACCTTAGGAGAGTTAAGAATATATAGACTGCAACAGTGAAGCTGGGGGTGGGAGCATTTTAATTTGTTTGTTTGTTTTCTCCTAGGTTTGCTTTCAGGAAATCCTAGTTAGTTCGTTTATCTTGTCATTAATCTATACTGCAGACTTTTGGGGCAGGAATTGTCTGTGTTACTTGGCAACAAAGCATTGGAAAACTAAGTTACTGTGTTGAACCATTTCTACACTAGAAAATAAAACACGCTAAAATGTATTATTTTTATGGTGTTGCTAGCAATTTTCATATCATACACAGTCTTCAACAGCAATACTGGATTTGTCTTAAATGTGTTATGGACTTTTCTAATTAACACTTGGCTATTTTTTTTCTGAATTTTGCTCTTTTTAAAGAGGATGTAGCCTAGCTGTAGTAGCTGGAATACTCTACGGTTCCAGTTTTGTACCAGTACTTTACATCAAGGATCATGGAAGAAGAAATGAAACTGTATACGCAGGAGCAAGTCAATTTGGTAAAGGCTAATAGATTACTTCGACTTTATTTTGTCAGTCTCTTGTGTTCTCCTGCTTTTTCAAAGGCATAAAGTGAAATTCTTGAGAAGCTTGAAAATAGGCTGTACAGCATACCAGTTTTGCGCTGTTATATGTTGTCAGAATCATAGTACTAGCACTCTCTTTTTCTCAGAGGTTCATTGCACTGTTAAAAGAACAGTGAGAAACAGCCCAGAGGATACCATGCTTCACTCATAGCTATGTTCCAGAAGGTATTAAATACCAGCCATCTCAAAATGCAAAGTTTATATCCTGGAACATGAGGTAAACAAAGGCACAAGCTTTCCAGTTACCAAATTAGTACATCAGTAAAGGAAGAGAAGAGAGTTGATCATAACTCATGCGGAGAAGAGATATATAACAATATAAGTAATTAAAACCTTGTAGGTTTTGAAACAGAAACCTTTTTACATAAGCTTAATTGCCAATTTCAAACATTTCCACAAAATTTTTTTTCTTAAGATTTAGTGTATAGTCTTATCAGGTAATACCAGCTGCAGTTTAAGAGCAACATATTGCTGAGGAGTCATAATACTGCTGTTAAGAAATTGTTTGTTATGTCACATACAATTTCTCTTGAATACTGCAGCCTGTATATTCCCCAGCTAGACGTAACAGATGTTAACATTACTATAGCTGCCTGTCCTGTTGAGAATTTACAGCTCCAAGGAGACAGCAATCACCTTGCTACATATAGAATAGTTTGGGTTGGAAGGGACCTTAAAGGTCATCTAGTTCCAACCCCCCTGCCATGGGCAGGAACCCCTTCCACTAGACCAGGTTGCTCAGAAACAATCTCTTTAACACATACGAAGTCCATAAAGGGTTATTGATTATAGTGATCAAAACTGTGATACATTCTTCAAGATGACAAAAGGACAAAACTGCCGTGTCTAGCTTCCACACTATGTGCAGTTGTCTTGCCCTTAAATATACAGAAAAGAAATAAGGCTGTATACAGGAGTACAAATGTAGATGGTCAGGAGAGGATGCAATTATGTAAAATCCCTCCCCCCAGTTTTCTAGCCTCACCAGAGGATTTTCATGAGGTTTTAATAAATTATTCAGCACTTTGACTAACAGAGTTCCAAAAATAACAAATCACAGAAATATATAAAAGCCTGTAATAAATGCTAAGGTTAACACAGCAGTTAATTCGCATTTAATATATATGTAATTGACCACATCCATCCAGTCAGACTCGCAGCTATGTTGGTCACAATCACAACTGAATTTGAGTTGTTAGAAGTAGCACCATATGGGGTTTTTATCTATGTGAATGCTGTCAGTGAAATTAGTTAAAATTAATAACTGATGGTTTAGACTAATGTAATTTCATGATTTCTCTTTTAGATTTGGATTATGTTTTTGCACACTTCAGTGGAATATTTCTTACAAGTACTGTCTACTTTTTGATCTACTGTGCAGTCAGGAAAAATAAACCTAATGTTTATCCCCAGGCCATTTTGCCAGGTATGACTGGTTTTCCAATTATAAATTAAGTTCAGTTACTTGTGACTGTTTTCAGTAATCAGTTTAAGCTATGTGTCGGAATTGTAGTTTGCCTTTCAAGTCTCTTCATTTGACCTTTGTCTCTTTTGAAAGATCACTCCTATTTGATTAATTAATTAAAGTTAGGAAACACTGATAAATTTTGTTCTAATCTGAAGCTGGAGCAAATGACATTGCAGATTTTCAAAAGCTGACTGCCAGAGTGTAGAGCACGTTGCCCAGAAATATGTGAACTTTAATTAATTTGATACTTCAGTTGATGTAGCTGATTTTGTCCCTTGAGCTTTGGTTTAGATTATCAGAGCCAGCTTGTTAAAGTAGTTAAAAAAAATACATACATGCGGTTTCTGTACTATGTTATAAATATAAATGTTCCATAAATTGCTGTCTGTACCTTGCTGTGCATGTTTTTGATTGGGATTTATTTTTCTAGGGTTTGTGTCTGGTGTGCTTTGGGCAGTAGCCAATTGCTGCTGGTTCATAGCCAATCACTATCTCAGTGCTGTGGTCAGCTTTCCAATAATTACTGCAGTAAGTATATAAAAAATAAAATCTGTGACTAGAATTAAAAGTGAAAGGTTTTTTTTCATCACATTTGCTAAATTAAGTTGAAATTATGACATGTCTAGAACATTTTAATAAAGAGTATACATTGCGTGCTCTGCTTGTCTGTGCCAGCCTTTGGGTTTTTAGAAACATATATGACTGTGACAAGCACCATCTTGGTCAGTGCCAAGCATTAAAAAACCCCAGAAGAATAGAAAGTGTGAGTCTTCAGGTTACATAAAAGTCAAAGCTGTGAAACCAGAACTATATCAATTCTAAATAGTAAACTGAAGTAATTTAATTTTATGCTTTCATCCCAAGAATTAATTTTGTTCTGGATGTTTTCATTTGTGATTTTTATCCTCTAGCAATCATTTTCCTTAATTAAGTCTGCTATTTTTTCTTTTTGCAGTTCTTGAACAAACAGAACAGATTATGTATTGATGAAAATAATGTTCTTATGCAAATGAGGGAAAAAATAGGTTGGCCTGTTTTGTCTGTTTTAATCCTATGTATGATACTCTACCTTTAAAGCACTGTTAACATCCAGAGGTTGCATAAATTCCATCACTAGGTAAAAATAAACTTTGTGTTTACTTTCTTGCCAGTCTACTAGATGGTGATGCAGAGATGGATAACTTCTGCCAAATGAGAGTTCATAAATATCAAAAACAAAGTTTACTGAACAGCAGTTATTTTGGAAGCAAACTAATGAAACATTAATGGGGATTAAGCTTTGCCTCAAGATGCAGTAAATCAGAATAAACTCTGCAGTATGCAATATAAAAAAGAGGCTTGGGATCATTCTAATTAGAAATTGAAGGATTTATGGAAAGCAGCTTAAGTTAACTTAGTTATCAGCATGCCTAAAGGGCAAGCATATAAAATCATGAAATGAAAATTTAAGGACAGCACTGATGAGAAACTGCCTATCTGGACCACAGGGTTCAGAACTGCTGCTTTCCTTCACCCTAGAGAGAATTTCAGACAGCTATTCATCACATGCCTGTAACAGTCTGTTTCATTTTAAAAATGCATTCCTCTTGCAACGTACATTATTTAGGAAATGAAATAACACCTTAGCTATTATTCAAGTAATAGTTCGCAATTTCACTAGGAAACAGCACCCACAAATACATTCAGCATGAGACGCTGTTTTCCTGCTGGCCTAAATCTGTGTCCTGTCAGCTGTACTGAAGACGGAGAGAAGATCACTATCCAAACATCTGTCAAGTAGTTCTGAAAACAGCTCTAATGGGAAGCATTAATAGAGCCAGTTTTTGCTTCATGTTCAGATAACATTTTCTCATCAGTCATGAAAATTCCAGTCATTACTCCCACAGGGGGAAAACTATATTACCAGGAGTGCTTGGAAATTACCATTGTGTATCACTGTTCGCTGTTAGCTGGGAAATCTGTACAACAGTATCACAGATAATCAGTAGTTTTCCTGACCCATCTATCTGGCTGGCTTTGTGCTTTGTCCAGATGCCTGCTATACAGGAAACACATTTATGTTTCAGTCTCTTGATATCACACTGTGTGATAAAATCAAACTTTGTCCAGCTAGTTACTCATGCTAACAAAGGAAATGTTAGGAATATTCATGGTACCTGCCAATAAACTTGAATGGCCCTCTGAAATGTGGTAACATTGTCGACTCTAGTTTGGACTTAAGTGTGTCATATTTGGAGCCTACTAAAAGAGTGTATAACAGCCAGTGAAGACTCTACAGCATAATTTAGAAAGAAATTGTGCCTTCTTGGAGGTGGGGGGAGGGGGAAATAAATAAAGTCTCTTGCCTCTTTAGCCCTTCTTGAAGATTTGACTCTTACTTCATAAAGATGGCAGTGATATTTTTGCTTTTGCCATGAGCGCCATAATTATATGGAATGTAAAGGCCCGAATTCGTTTTCCAGACACATTTCAACCACCCTGAGAACAATAATGAGAAGATGGTGCTTTTCATGATGTTTTAATGTACAAATGAATCTTATTTTTTAGGGTCCTGGTCTTGTTGCTTCAATGTGGGGAGTCCTTGTATTTAAAGAAATTAAGGTAATCTTACTATGGCTCTTACCTAGTCTTTCATGCTTGTCTTTATCTCTAGGAACAGTATGAATTGGTATACACCTGTGTCTCTTAGATTTCTTCTCCTTACAAGTATTTCAGTATGAAGCTGAAAGTCATATCATGCAATATTAAGGTTTCCAAGAAAGCTGAAAAACTGGACAATCCTTACAGGACTGAAAATTTAAACTCCATTACTATATGAGCTGCAGTGAGAGTAAATGAAGAGTGTATCAGGGCCAGGCGGCAGGATGCCAAGCACAGCCTGAAAACAGTATTTATATGAGCTGGTTCTTTCAGTGGGGCAGGAGAATGAGCAGTTGTCCCAGTAATCACATAGACAAGTAGATTAGACTTTTCAAGTCAGGTTCGCCAAAGAACTGAAAAATGAGGCGGAGGTTAGCTGGGATTGCAAATTACAGTATACTGTGGAGACCCTAAACCAATACAGCAGTGGCTGCCTAGAAAAAGCTAATTTACTGGATGTTAACATACATGGCAGATACTATTTTTCTAGTGGAATATGAAGCATTGAATACTAGCAGTGTAATTCTCAGGTTCCCTTAGCTAATCTGTTCAGGATCCGCAGGTACCTAATTTGCCATTGGAGATCATCTTTCCAAGTTTTTTTGGAGACACTAAAATACGTTAGGCATCCCTTCATCAGGAACTAGAAAGTTTCTTTTACTCCCCCAGTGCAGATTAATGTTGCACCACAGTAAAAGACTATCATGTTCCTTATCTAAATGTCTGTGATGCACTAAATCTTTCATCTTTTCCATACATTCTTAGAATAGTGTCTTCATAACTGCTTACTACTTAAAAATAATCTGAAAATAGACAAAGCCCTTTAAAAATACTTTTTAAAATTGCTGAATTAGTTTTGTATTTTACTTTAGTGTATGGCATCATAGATTACTTGTATTAAACTGTTTTGAACAGCAAATATATTACAAATTTATGAAATGAAATGAGTAATAAATTTACTATTTCATGTAATAAATTTATGAATTTTGTCATAAAATGAAACCCTGGTTATTACTTTTACTTGTTTTTTTTTTGTGAAGTTGTATCTAACAGCCTGATATTTTTCTTTTTCTCTCCCTTTGCTTATCCAGGGACTGAAAAACTACGTTTTACTCTCAGTAGCATTTTGCATTGTTGTGGCTGGATCATTCTCCACAGCTTTTTCTAAAGTTTGAAAGGATCTTCTGGACCAGTAGAGGGTGCTGCTGTTTAATATACATAGAAAGACAATATTGGTATATAGCAATACATAATGATTTTCAAAATGAATGTCCAACATTAACTTACTTCAGGCAAGTGAAAAAGAAAACCTTTGCTCCCATTTGGCATGAATAACTGGAAATGTTTGCTTCTGCATTTCTTGGACCAGTAGCAATTTCAAAGGATTTTAATAAATAAAGCTAAATGATTTTATAGTTATTAACTTTTTTTTCCGGTTCAGCTACCATGTAATCATAAGTTGCAGTTCACTGTTGTTTTGGTGGATAAATGGATTCTAATTCTTAGTCTGTAATTATGTATTTGCAAGCTGATTTGTTTTATTATAATGTCTGTCTTACTGATTTGAATATAAAATATATCTTGAAATATTCTTTATGGAACTGATACAAAGATATGAAGCATTTTTTAATTTAGAAGCATTATTCTTTAAAGTCATCAATTTACATAAAGATGTTACTTCCAGTCACTTCAGAATTTTGAAGGAAATATAGGAAAAAAAAGGGTGCTGTAAAATAGATCACTTGTGTTTGCTGCTAAACTGTTTTGCTGCAAGAAATTATGTAGCAGTCAGGACCAGGGTACAAAGTTTGAGTTTATTTTGGTTGCAACTTGACATTACATTTCTGTGTTGAAATATTAATTATGCAGTCCAAATAACTTTGGGCATTTTGTGAATACTTACTTTTCTATGTAGCATATTGAAATCTTAAAAATTATGTATGGCAATATTTATTACATCAAAGCATCATGCTAAAACTAGCAAATCTGCCCCATAAAGGAAATTCCCTATGAGGAATGTTGCATACACTGTTCCATGACAGATACTGTTTAGTTTCCTACCCATGGCAGCTAAGATCATACATGCAAAGCATGTTGTCTGAACCTTCCCATAGTTTTTCCTTCAGTATATTAGACAACCCCAGCTCCTGCAGTCTTCCCTTGTTTGTAATGTGCTCATCATTTTTCTTGCTCTTTCCTGAACTCTATCTGTCTAGAAATATTAGACATGGCAGTCAGACTACAGTCTTAGAAATAAAACGAGCAGCAGCAGCAAGATTTTTTTGGTTTCATCCAATTTGCAAGCTCTGTTCATGGTTACACATCATAGTATGATGCTGTCACAGCTTGGTATTGTTAACATGTTTGGTTTGCAATCATAATTTCTCCTTTCTCCCTTGCACTCTTTGTTGTCTACTATTTATCAGATTTTATCTCAGAACTGTTACTTAGCCTGATTTTTTCTGCTCTATAGTTATTCCTACCCACATGTCAGAGCTTGGCGTCTGATAGGTTTTTTCCCCCCTTAAGGCATTTCTCTAGTTTTGCTCTGTATGTTAACCCTGTCCTCCAACAAGTTGGCAGCATTTTCCAGCCAGATGTCATCTAAAAATGTAGTAAACATACTCTGTAATTACTGTAAATAATTTATGAGAATGCTGCATGATACTGGCCTTCTCTTACTTTCTGATACCTAATGTAATACTTCTTTTCACTCTGTCAGGGAACAATTAACTGCTCCTTTGAGAACAATTTTCCTGTCTTGCAGTGGTTTTATTTACACTGCATTCTCCCAGCTTTTATGGAACAGTTGTTCAAGTCAAGATACATAATATGTACTAACTTAATCCCTGATATCGGAAAGAAAACTAATTATTTTTCTTTCCAATATCCAGGTCAGACACAAGTTCTTCCTGGCAGATCCTTGACTGCTACTTGCCTAGCCCTTATTCTGTTGACTCAAATATGAGTAATTTGTTCCCATGTTTGTGAAATAACTTGAGTTAAATTGGATATTTATACTTCCCCTGGATCTGTTTCCCTTCTTCTTAAAGATTACAAGAACTTCTGTATTCCTGCAATATACTCCATGCCAGAAAATTGCTGATAAGCAAAGAATTGACAAAACCAAAATACAGTGTTCTCAGGCTCCTCTACTTTACAGGTACACTTTAATATGTCAGTTCTTATTCCTGTTTCACTGATTGCAGTTTGTTAACACTGACTATGGTCTGTGTAAGACTGAAGGAACTGTAACTCACTGGTTTGCTAAAATAATTACAGTGCAATGCAGTATTTATAAAGATAGTGTGATTACAGCACCAGTCCACTTTGATACACAAGGATCATCTGTTTAGTTTACTACGGTATGCAGGTCATCTTCCACATTTGGTTAAAGTCTGCAAGTACAGTCCACGCTATTCAATGAGGTATTCTCTCACGAGTTTATGGTAAGCAAATTACTAATGCCTTCATGTTGGAAGATGTTGAGCCAGAACTCTCAGGGAGGAGTACCATGTTCGCATGGGCTCAGACAGTGAACTAGCCTGTTCATATGTCGTGGTTTAAACCCAGTCAGGTAATTCATTCGCTCACTTCCCCCCCATTTTCTTGCCCTCCCCCTGCTCTCGGAGGGATGGAGAGGAAAATCGAAAAGAATGCAACTCCCACAGGTTGAGATAAGAACAGTTTAGTAACTAAGGTATAACACAGATCACTACTGCTACCACCAATGATAATAATGATACAGGAAATAACAAGGGAAGAGAATACAACACCTCAGCACCAGCTGACCGATAACTCGCCCCCCCAGCCCGACCAAGCTCTGACCGATACCTCCTCCAACCCTGCAGTCTCCCAGCCCTTCCGGCTAACTCCCAGTTACCTCCTGGGCATGACGTGCTGTGGTACGGAATACCTCTGTGGTCAGTTTGGGTCAGGTGTCCTGTCTCTGCCTCCTCCTGGCTTCCCCTCCTCCCTGGCAGAGCATGAGGCTCACAAAGTCCTTGGCCAAACCAAAACATTGCTATCAGCTCTGTTCCCAGGCCGAAAGTCAAAACACTGCACTGCATCAGCTACCAAGAAGGGGAAAAATGACTGCTACTGCTGAACCCAAGACATCATACTACCAGGGTAGAAAGCTAACTTTTAAGGAGCACCACAGGCCCCTTAGGCCACAGAGACCTTCAGAGCACCTTCAGTGGAGAACAGGAATAAGCAGAAACAAAAGGTCAGAGAATGAAAAGATACAAGAATGTATGGCACGAGTAATAACTGGGCTAAAGCATCAGAAAAACAAAGACGCCTTATCTAGTAGAGCAAAGCCCTGAAACTGAAGTAGGGGACCAGACAAAGCCAAGTGAAGATGTTACAAAGTTGGGTGTATCAGAGCAGAAATATATATGGTATCTTTTAGCTGTCTTCCACAGCTGGGCAAGACACAGTACTCACTGAAGAATCAGTGCAGAGTGGCTGTCATGCAATTGCTGATTGCTCTGCAACAGCTGTGTTGGTAATCTGCATCTCCAGCTGTGTGAGGGATAAAGCAGGATCACTGAAGCCTAAATACTGTGGGATCTAGTTTATCCCTAACCTTGGTCAGCTGCTTCCCATCCTGTGATACAGGGAAGTGGGATAGGCTTTGTCTGCTATTGTAGTACCTTGAAGCTCTGGGTTTTTTGGTGCTGTTGGTATCCCACGTGAATGCTTCTTGGGTTTTTCAGAATTTTAGTGCACAGTTTATAGTGGCAGGACAAGCAGGCTACTTGTGCTATAGTGAAAATGTTATGACAGGTTAGTAAGTAGAAAAACTTTTCCTGGCAGTACCTGGTTTTACTTCCCTCAGTTCAGATTCTGTCTTGCTTACTGCATTTGTTGTGGTTTGAGATAAATCTGAAAATGGACAATGAAACTGAATCAGCTACACCCATTCCCTATTAAAGGAGTGGCTCTGTCACACAGAATCATAGAATACTTAGGGTTGGAAAGGACCTTAAGATCATCAAGTTCCAGCCCCCTGCCATGGGCAGGGACACCTCACACTAAACCATATCACCCAAGGCTTTGTCCAACCTGGTCTTGACCACTGCCAGGGATGGAGCATTCACAACCTCCCTGGGCAACCCATTCCAGTGCCTCACAACCCTAACAGGAAAGAGCTTCCTCCTTATATCCAATCTAAACTTCCCGTTTAAATTTTCACCCATTACCCCTTGTCCTGTCACTATAGTCCCTAATGAACAGTCCCTCCCCAGCATCCCTATAGGCCCCCTTCAGATACTGGAAGGCTGCTATGAGGTCTCCACGCAGCCTTCTCTTCTCCAGGCTGAACAGCCCCAACTTTCTCAGCCTATCTTCATATGGGAGGTGCTCCAATCCCCTGATCATCCTTGTGGTCCTCCTCTGGACTTGTTCCAACAGTTCCATGTCCTTTTTATGTTGAGGACACCAGAACTGCACACAATACTCCAAGTGAGGTCTCACGAGAGCAGAGTAAAGGGGCAGGATCACCTCCTTCTACCTGCTGGTCACGCTCCTCTTGATGCAGCCCGGGATATGGTTGGCTTTCTGGGCTGCGAGCGCACACTGCCTGCTCATGTTCATTTTCTCATCAACCAACACCCCCAAGTCCTTCTCTGCAGGGCTGCTCTGAATCTTCTTTGCCCAACCTGTAGCTCTGCCTGGGCTTGCTCCGACCCAGGTGTAGGACCTTGCACTTGGCATGGTTAAACTTCACGAGTTTGGCATCAGCCCACCTCACAAGCGTGTCAAGGTCCCTCTGGATGGCATTCCTTCCCTCCAGGGTATCAACCAAACCACACAGCTTGGTGTCATCGGCAAACTTGCTGAGGGCACACTCAATCCCACTGTCCATGTCAGCGACGAAGATGTTGAACAAGACCGGTCCGAACACTGATCCCTGAGGGACACCACTTGTTACTGGTCTCCAGCCGGACATTGAGCCATTGACCACAACTCTGTGTGCGGCCATCCAGCCAGTTCTTTATCCACTGAGTGGTCCATCCATCCAATTGATGTCTCTCCAATTTAGAGACAAGGATGTCGTGTGGGACAGTGTCGAACGCTTTGCACAAGTCCAGGTAGATGACATCAACTGCTCTACCCCTGTCCATCAGTTCCACAGCCCCATCACAGAAGGCCACCAAATTGGTCAGGCAGGATTTCCCCTTAGTGAAGCCATGCTGGCTGTCACCAAGCACCTTGTTGTTTTTCATGTGCCTTAGCATGCCTTCCAGGAGAATCTGCTCCAAGATTTTGCCAGGCAGAGAGGTGAGACTGACTGGTCTGTAATTCCCCGTGTCATCCATTTCCCCTTCTTGAAAATGGGGGTTATATTTCCCTTTTTCCAGTCATCGGGAACTTCACCTGACTGCCATGATTTCTCAAATATGATGGCCAGTGGCTTAGCAACTTCATTAGCCAGCTCCTTCAGGACCCACGGATGGATTTCATCAGGTCCCATGGACTTGTGCACATTCAGATTTTTAAGGTGGTCTCGAACCAGATCCTCTCCTACAGTGGGCCCAAGGTCTTCATGCTCACAGTCTCTGTGTCTGCCTTTCAAGACTTGGGTGGTTTGGTCAGAGCCTTTGCCAGTAAAGACCGAGGCAAAGAAGTCATTCAGAACCTCAACCTTCTCCACATCCTGGGTAGCCAGTTCTACTGATAGCTTCCTGAGGGGGCCTACATTCTCCCTAGTGTGTTTTTTATTTGCTATGTACATGTAGAATCCCTTCCTGTTATCCCTAGCCAAGTTTAATTCTAACTGGGCCATAGCTTTCCTAACCTGGTCCCTAGCTTCCCAGACAACATCCCTGTACTCTTCCCAGACCCCCTGTCCTTGCTTCCACTTATTATAAGCCTCTTTTTTCATTTGAATTTTCCTCAGGAGCTCCTTATCCATCCAAGGAGGTCTCCTGGCCCTCCTGCTGCACTCTTTCTAGTCGGGATGCAACACTCCTGAGCTTGTGGCAGGTGATCCTTGAATATCAACCAACAGTCTTGGGCCCCCCTGCCCTCTAGGGCTATATCCCATGGAACCTTACTAAGCAGGTTCCTGAAGAGACCAAAGTCTGCTCTTTTGAAGTCCAGGGCAGTGAGCTTGCTGCACACTCTTCTCACTGTCCTGAGGATCTCAAATTCGAGCATCTTGTGATCGTTGCATCCAAGGCTGCCCTGAAGCGTCACATTTCCAACCAGCCCTTTCCTGTAGGTGAGCACGAGGTCAAGCATGGCACCTCTCCTTGTCGGCTCCTCTATTACTTGCAGAAGGAAGTTGTCTTCCACACAATTGAGGAACCTCCTGAAAAAATGAAGTTGATCTCTAACTTGGCAGTAGAGTTACATCTATGTTTCAGGCTTAAACTGTTTCATATGCTTCAGTTTGCTTTATCTGAAGAGTCTTTTCTAATATTATCTTGAGCTTCTACTGTCTGTCTTGAGGGATGCTCCTAAAATAATGGCTGTTATGGCCCTGATATGATTACATATCATATCATATATATGATTGAACCTTCCAGGGTGGGAGCATATTTACCTTTCCTGGTTTCTTTACAATGTCATTGGCTTTCTGAAATAAATCAGAACACTGAACTCCTGACCATAGCAATTGCCACGTAAATGTACGTATTTTGATGCAGTTCTCCAGTCTATATTGTAAAGACACCAGATGTGCAAACTCAATTGCTGAATGCTAATTAAAATTCTTGTTTGTGAAGGCTCAAGTATGACTTGTATTAAATGCTTTCTTAGATAGCTGCTGGGAAAAAAAAACAAAAAAAAAAACAAAAACAAAGCCACCTCTTGCATCTCTTTTCTGTAAAAAAAAACATTGTGGTAATTCATCAGGATCTATGGTTTATATGTATTTCATGTTCAATATGTATTTATTCCAAAATATTTTCTCATTATGTTCATTTGGCATATATTGAATAACTATTCCACTTCTGAGATTTTCTTATTCTTGAAGTTTTGAGTCTGAAGTTACACTGGTACTTCTTTCATGTTAAAATGCTGGCTTAACAGATATCTGTTTATAGAGCTGTTTATACAAAACCGTCTGGAAGCCACTGAGTTTAGTTTGAGAAAAATCTACAGCTAATAAGTTATCATGGCTCT